GCTGCTCCTGCTACAAAACAAGAGGCTAAAGGCAAAGCCAAGCCCAAGCCGGCTGCGCCAGCCTTCATGCTTTGCGGAGACATCGAGAGTGATGGCGAGGACGTGCAACCCGCACTTCCCAACGTACAACAAGGTAAGCTGGCGCTTCGCTTTAAAGTCAGATTTGATGACCGGGCGAATGTGACCACGTTTACCTGCGATCCTGGTAACGAACTGAACACCCGTCCCCTCAGGAAGAAGAAGAGTGAGGTGCAGAAGGTGGATACCGAGCTCATTTCGTCGTTGAGAGCCCTCAGAGTGAGCAATATAGCTGCACGAGTAGCACATGCCAAAGGTAAGATGATGGAGCTATACTCTGCTGAACACATTGCCAAGGCATGGATACAAACCACTCAAGATGAAGGAATCGAGGTGAACGTCGACCTGTCTGATTTCAACACCAGTGAGGTAGTAAGGAAGGATTCCGTCAACTGCACGATACCAGGAGACACGATGTTCATGGCCGTGGAGAGGTACGATGGACCACCAATACGCTTCATCATGGACACGGGATGTGGACACGACTTGATCTCAAGAGAGAAAGTCAATGCCATGGGCCTTACCACCAAGGAAGGACCCAAATCCGTGAGTTTCATGACAGCGAATGGTGTAACTAGTACATCAGAGATGGTGGACATCAATGTGGACGAGCTACCCATGAAGTCCGAAGCACACGTGTTGGAGAGCACACCATCAGTCTTTTCCATCGGGAAACGGTGCATGGAACAAGGGTACTCATTCATATGGCCGGCAAACCAATTGCCATACCTCATCGACCAGAACGCGAACAAGATTCCGCTATCGGTGCATGACAGCATACCCTACATCAAGGTGAATGATGATGACGGGAGATGTTTACCAAGACCAGACGGCTTGGCTACGATACTTCATCGCATACTGTCAGGTGCGGGGCATGAGGACGAGGCCACAGCAGGTCAGGAGACACAACAAGAGGAACCTCCGCCTAAGAAACCATGGAGACGGAGGAGAAAGAAGAAAGGTAACCAGAGAGATCGGGATGGTGAATCTGATATCAATCCAGCTGTTGCAGGCGTCGACGGAGAACCAGAGGGACACGGTGATGACTCTCCGGAAGAGGAATATGACGGGGAAGACCCGAAATTCGATAGTGATCACGATGGTCAATCTGAAGATGCCGGAGGCGACGAGTGTGGAGGTGATGCGGATTCTGAACGAGAGGAGAGTGACATTGGTGAAGATGAAGAGGGACTATTGGAAGTCGACGTGGTTGACGGGGAAGCTAGATTATCAAAACCAGGAGTGCTGAAGAACGAGGCGAAATCCATATTGCACTTGATGACGCACCGATATAAGAACCCATACTGCAAGTCATGTGTGAGAGCAAAGATGAAGCACTACAAGACTAGCAAGGGAGCTTTCAAACGGAAATTGAAGGCATTCGGTGACCTTATCACTTTCGATCTCATGAACACTCAGAAGATGGCGAGAGATGGGATCATGCCGGATAAGGACGTATTGGTGATTCGAGATCGGTTCACTGGTGTGATATGGGGCTATCCATTGAAAGCAAGCAATAGTGACGAAGTAGTGCAGGCGATGAAGCACTATATCGGTAAGAGAAAGGTCACCAACGCTTACTCGGATGATGCGCCACAATTTGAAGCAGCACTCAAGGAACTCCGGATTCCACTAGACCAGTCGCTTCCAGGACATCCCCAGAACAATTCACTCGCCGAAAGAAACAATCAGTTCATGATGCTTACCACATCGACATGCCTACTAGAAGCCGGACTACCACCATGTTTTTGGCCATTTGCAGTGGAGTGCGTAAGCCATTTGTTGAACATCGAGAAGCTGAGCGATGGCAGCAGTGCATGGTTGAAGTTGCACGAGCGAATTCCCAGGCATGGTTATAGAATTCCTGGTTTGCAGTTTGGTTCCTCAATTTGGGTCTCTTTGGCGCCCAAGACATGTTTGGGTCCATGCGTTTGCACTGGGGGGCATGTGTTTGCTTTTAGGCTGTCTTTAGTTGGCTGTGACTTCTCGGGGTGCCTCCGCGCAACATGCCAGGGGTGGATGAGGGTCACAGCCCACACGCGCAGTTTTCCAGGCTTCCATTTGGCAGCAAAGCAAGCGCGAGGGTGCTGAATATGTTTGCTTTGGTACTCAAACCTGCGCCTTGTTTACCTCAACCACCGTACTTGTAGCGTCTCTGTAGTTTCGTCCTCGCTAAACTTCTCTCGGTGAGACGTCCTTGCCTTTGGGCTTGGCGGCGGGCTAGTTTAAAGCGTTTCTCACTGTATGTTTGAGCTTGCGGTTCTGTTTTTGAATGTGTTTTGCGCCTTTGAAACGTGTAAACTTATGACGAAACAGTCCTTGATGCGCATTAGCGGTTTTGCTTTTGTGAGTTCCACAAAAGAGCAGCAAACAGTGTTTCATTTTTGGTGGTGTCACCAAACACACAATGTCAAGCAAACTTTTGTAGGCCGTCCGTGCTTGCTGCACACAACTCTTTTAAGTTTCTGTTGCCAAGCAAAAGGCTCAATCCAACAGAGGCACTAGTAAAGAAGTGAAAGAAAACCCAGACCTATTCGTGCTTCTGCAGGCCAGGAACAAACACAGCAACCAACAGGACCACTCAACAGCAAGTCTTCCCCACACGCAAACGCAACAGAAGCTCAGATGTTTTTGTAATAGACGCTTCGAGCGCCATGACTAGTTCTTGCAGCTGGGTCTTTATAAGCTGTCAAGAGGATTGGGTCTCTGAACGTTCGGATCGATGGCATTTAGCATTTTGCAAGGCCAGGATGACTCCATTTCAATCAGAAAGTTTTTGCAGAAGACAAGCGGAGCATTCGACTCTTCGTGACTCTTTTGAAAGCGTTGCTACAGAGAATAGGCCTTGGTTTGTCCGCTGCATTGCCTTGGTGAGCCCGGACCTCCCATTTCAAGATGACCTTTCGCCAGGTTGGTCAGATGGGGCCATGAAACTCAAAGAAGTGATGTTTGGGGGGCAACAAGACGCTTTCGCTTTGAAAGTGCACAAAGTTTTTTGCATTCCACCCTGGGAGAACAAGCCATGTTTAAAACATGTAGCTTTCCCCCGCAGACACGCCAAACGATCCAAGCAAGAACGTTGGAGTGAAGCCTGGGTTGGGTCTGAGAACCGTAGCCACAAGAAAGCTTTAGTGTATCGAATTCTTGGATGGGAGCTTCAAGGTGTGGAAGCCTCGCACGATGCAGTAGCATCGCTCTATGTTTACAGGCCTCTGCGCCAGGAACTCGGCTTCCAGATGTTGCAGGATGCTGTTGCTGCAGAGCCGGTCCCAGTAGAAAACCTGAAGGGTTTGCCTGTGTTGTGCTTGCCATCGCCTCTGGCGTTTGCAGTTTCGTGCGGTTTGTGTGACCAAGTGCCCATGCTAGCCCGGTGGACGCATCCTTTTTTCCCAACATTGTCAGAAGGGTTGCCTCAAGCTTGGCTGAATTCTCTTTCTGAGCTTGTTTTAGGGGCTGGAAGCTTTGTTGCCGAAGAGAAGCTCCTGTCTTACTCAGCTGGGGAAAAACTGTTGGCATATCTGAGGAAAATGGGCTCTCAGGTCCTCGCCAGTGTGCTGGATGAGGACATTGCGTCAGGCATACGGGCAGAAGTCATTGAGCACCTGCAAGCCTTAAAAAACCATTTGTACGCATTGGAGGTTGCCAAAGCCCCACAAGTCAAGAACCTCGCTTGTTTGAAGTTTCCTTCAGACTCCTTTGTTCAGCAAATTCTTGCCAGCCTGGATTTGCGCAATAGAGCAAAACTCCAACAGCATGCTACAAGATT